AAGTTTGCCTCTATTATTTGAACCCAACGGGTCATTTAATTGAAATCATTTCCCTCTGGGATTATTATGGTATTTCTGATTGTGCTTTGGAGTTGTTGCTGGGTTCTTACCCTAATCTTTTTATTTTTATTTATTTATTTATTTATTTATTTTTACCTTGTCCTGTTCAGCACTATGGCAGCAGAACTGAAATCTGAGTATTGTGCTATGCTGAGCAAAATTGCTTTGCCAAGGGAGGCTTTTTTTTTAGTGAAAACCCCCCCTTGATTACCCAAAACTTCTTTATTTATTCATTTTTGTTACCAAACTTCCAATAATGTCCAATAACCTGACAGAGGGACAGGGGGAGGAAGGGTAGTGGAAAGGAGAGAGACCCTTTCTTACCCTAATCTTTTTATTTTATTTTATTTTATTATTTTTTTTACCTTGTCCTGTTCAGCATTATGGTAGTAGAACTGAAATCTGAGTTCTGTTCAATGCTGAGCAAAATTTCTTTTTTGCCAAAGGAGGCTTTTTTTTTAGTGAGAAGCCCCCCTTGATTACCCAAAACTTCTTTATCTATTCATTTTTGTTACCAAACTTCCAATAATGTCCAATAACCTGACAGAGGGACAGGAGGGGGGAGGGTAGTGGAAAGGAGAGAGATCCTTTCTTACCCTGGTACAGTGCTTCTCAATTATTTTCTGTTACGCCCCCCCTAGCAAGAAGAAAACTCTCTGCATAACATTTTATCCTTATTAACATTAAAGAAAAGAAAAAGAGAAAGACATATGGTCAAACTTACAACTTTATGAAATCGTGTTTTAAGTCTGCAACAGAAAAGATTTTAAGTGCATCGATGCCTGAAATTAAAAATAAACGAATCCTTATTAAAAAGTAAACATGTTTGATTTAATTTCACCGTTGCAAAATTAAATCAAAATCAATAAATAGTATTTAATAATTATAATAACTAATAAACTACAAAAACAACAAAAATAATAACTAATTTATATTCAGTTAAGCAACATTAACTCGGGAGCACAATATATAAAACGATTAGCTTTCGGGAGACTTTCTTTTGTCTCGTTATCTTTGTCTCTCTTCGTTTTTCTTTTCATCTATTAAAACTTTTCCATGTTGGGGTTGTTATGTTGAATAATGGAGGCTACAGACAGAAGGCTAACCTGTCGTCTTTAAGTCGTAAAATGTTGAACTGAACGATGAGAGCGCCACTGCCCCCTACTGGTGTGGATGCGCAATTACACTTTATGCTAGTACGGCCCAAAAAAAAGTCACGCAGTTTCCCAGTGTCACGCGCAGTGTTGGGTAAGTTACTTTAAAAAGGTAATCCGTTACAGTTACAAGTTACCTTGTTTAAAATGTAATTGTAGTGTAACTTTTTTGATTACTTTTAAAAAGTAATGTAACTAATTACGTTTGATTACTTTTTGATTACTTTAAGGTTTTAATGAGTATTGACCCATGATTAATTTTAGCATGTTAGTATTAGCCGTTAGCCGCAGCTAGCAGTTCAAGGCTAACGTCTGTTATCGATACTTTTTAAAATGAGTATCGTATCCGGATACAACATTTTAGTATCTATACTTTTTTAAGTATCGATACTTTTGACAACCCTAGTCTGAAATGTAGGACATGTCCGGGAAAAAGAGGAGTTGGGTAGGCTAGGCTAGGCTAGGCTAAGCTAGGCTAGGCTAGGTCATAGACACCGATAAACGTTTGTCATGCATCAACACCAAACAGTCAAATATTAGTAAATCAATACCCTTCGTCTATCAGTGAGTTGCATATTTCGCAAAGGTTTTTCTTTATATTTTTAAAAAAATGTAACTAAATTTGTAATTCTTAATATTGTCGGAAGTAACTGTAACTGAATGACATATTTTCTCATTGTAACTGTAACGAATTGCAGTTACTCTTTTTTTGTAATTAAATTACGTAACGTATCGCACCAAGCCCCCCAAGGGGGGCGCGCCCCAC